CAAATATAACATTCATATTTTTTCTCTCCTGGAAATGTTAAGAGATTTTTTTATTTACTTGTTTAAACTGACAAACAGAAATGTCCGTACCCCCAAGTGTGATCTTGGCTTTGCTCGTCTGTGTGGTTTAATGACTCCACCTTATTGTATTGCAGGCTTGAAGGAAAAAATGAAGTGTTTAAAGAGTAGGTTATGTGTTGTTTGCTGTGCGCGTGCTGAGTGCGGTGCCCGCATGCCCCTGGGAAGGTGGAATCTCAGTCTGGTTGTAGGGGTACGGTGATCACGTTGCGACAGTTTCTCAAGCGATAGCCTCGTAGCTTGGTCACGATATCCGTATGACACAGATAGCTGCTATTTCATCCTTCCCTTCTCTCTCTCCTGTCACCCTGGCTGTCCAGGCTGCACTGCATGCCACCTGGAAATTGGGCCCGCTTCGACTCTGCGGGGTTCAAGGTGGACGTCTGCACCGTTTTGCTTGTGGTCTGCTCCCTGCCTCGATGGCTGTGCCTGGTGTCCTGCGGCCTGCCTTCAGGCTGCCTGTTCCGTGGACAGTGGAAGCTTAAGTGGCAGGCTTTGCGTGGCCTCGATGGGGTTCACTTGCAAGGAGCCTGCTGGGCTGGTCCCTGGGCCCAACAGGCCATTCCTTGTCTGATTGCTAGAAGGAGCCATTTGCTTTGGGTTTTTTTCCCAACCTGCGCAAGCTGGTGGAATTAAAAATAGCAAATCTTTTTATGGCCAATAAAAATATTTATAGATTGGAAATTACCAAACACCTTCCGAAATGCAATCTGTCTGTCACACTCTGAGATTTCTTTCTGATGCTGAGAAAAAACTACTTTGTCAAGCTGACCAACTGATCTTGCGTCCTGCCGGGTGACTCAGGGGTGGGGCTCTGGCCTCCTAGACTGCAGAGCCGACCTGCTTTTCTACAGAAACTGGTCTTCAGGGCATGAGGGTTTAAGCTCACATTAAAATAATTACCAAAATGCTTACATTTTACTCAAAATTAATGTAACTTAAAGTTAGATGTCATTACTGCAGGTGTCCATCTCTAGTCCCTGTGGCACCAACTCTGACCGGCGCCTCTCTTCTCAGCAGGAGAAAATTCAGCTTTTTTGTTTAATGTGTATCATTATCTCTAGGCCTCCTGCCAGTCGGGTCTCAACAACTTCCCAAGATGACTAGAGCTGCTGAAGCCTGTTCTGTAAACCAGCCCTGCACTAAACGACTGTAGGGCAGAGCCCATGGTAGCTTTGAAACCTTGACAATGCCTGTTAGCATATTATTATTATTATTATTATTATTATTTTTGAGACAGAGTCTCGCTTTGTTGCCCAGGCTAGAGTGAGTGCCGTGGCGTCAGCCTAGCTCATAGCAACCTCCCAACTCCTGGGCTCAAGCGATCCTCCTGCCTCAGCCTCCCGAGTAGCTGGGACTACAGGCATGCGCCACCATGCCCGGCTAATTTTTTTCTCTATATATTAGTTGGCCAATTAATTTTTCTCTATTTATAGTAGAGATGGGATCTCGCTCTTTCTCAGGCTGGTTTTGAACTCCTGACCTCGAGCAATCCTCCAGCCTCGGCTTCTCAGAGTGCTAGGATTACAGGCCTGACCCATGTTAGCATATTAAAGGCTCTGAAAAGTCCTGCAATCAAGAGATCTTTTTAAATTTAATTTGATTTAGGCTTTCCCCATATTATCTGAATGAGGAATCTTTTTTCACACCTCGGACTAGTGATTGACAGAATTGCTAGAGGAACCTATTGTTGCGTTTTAATCCTGTCTCCTCCAGGGGAATTTAGGGCGCTGCTACCAGGAAGGGCCGGTGAGCCAGCCTCTTTGGGTCTTACTTTGCTCACCTGTGAATGGCCTTGATAATCCCTACTTGGGCTCTTAGCTTTGCCTGGGTGCCTTTTGTTTGCTCTTTGCCTGCAGCTGAGCCGGGAGCCTGGAAGGACATAGCTTTGATTGCTGCAGAAGCTGAGCAAACCACACGTGGCCTGGCCTGGGCCCTAGAATGGCCTCAGAAGAGACAAACACCCAAGGGCCTGTCTGGTTAACCAGGCAATGGGCGGCAGTGCGTGTGGTCACAGTCCTTCGCTCTGCTGCCTGCTAGGCAGGACTTGTTTTGGTTCTCAGGTGAGATCGTTATTGCTCAAGAGTTGCGGCCTGAGTTCATGTTTTGATACGGGGCGAGCCCGGCTGGGTCACAGTCTGACCTCGTAGGCCCTTAGCCCAGGCTCCACAGGGCCCCCCTGGGGGGCCAGGCTTCACTGACCTCGCCTGGGCAGAAGAGGTGAGGCCTGGTTCCTCCTGAGCAAGACCGTGAGCGCAGGAAGGCCGGAGGAGGGGCAGGAGCCGTCCTCGGAGGTGTTCTTACCAAGGACGTCGTGCGGACAGGGAAGGGTCCTCGGCGGCCTGCTCTGGGGCAGGGGCTGGTGTCCAGAGCTAGAGCTGATGTTCCGGACATGGGAGAGGAGACAGGGAAGAGGAGGTCACAGTCACAGACCCAGAGCTCTCTCCAGGCTCCCGCTGGGAGACCCCTGTCTGACATCCTCTGGGAGCGTCCTCAGCAGGGACTGGGCATGGGGAGGTGACCGCTGCAGCCCAGAAACAGCCTTGCCAGGGGACAGACTTGCAGCACCAAGAGAGCCGTGGTGGAAACAGAGACTGAGCCACAGGAAGTGGCTGGGCCTTGAGGAACTTTAGGGGTGCTTCAGGTTTGAAAAGGGAGACCTCACCCCTTGGGTGCCATAAAGTCCTTGGCTCCGGTGAAAATGCACGGAGACCAGAGGGATCTGAAACGTGTGTCTTCCTAGCAGCAGAGAGTGCGAGCTGGACAGGCGTGGCCGGCAGGAGGGTTCCACCTTTCCCGGCGCAGCGGGGCTGTGGCCTGACAGTGCCGCGGCAGGGAGGGGAGCCGCGGGCAGGAGCCTCCTGCGCATGTCCTCGTTTTATGGTGGAGGTTACACAGCTCTGTGTGCCAGAGTTTCCTCACCTGTGAAATGGGGGTGATGATGGTACTTAATAGGGGTAAAGAATACATTAAATGAAATAATCCGTGCATCCCGGCCCACGGTAGGCCATCAGTAAATGTCAGCTACTTAATGGCTGTCATTGTCATCCTGACTGTTTTTAATTCATTTCCTGCCTCTTACATGCTGGTAATCTGCCACCAGCCAGTTTCCTCCTCTGAGTCTCCTTTTGTTCCCATCTGCTTTTCGAGGACTTATTCTACCCACACATCAAACTTAGGCTTGTCCCAAGCTGTGCTCGCCACCTCTCCCCTTTGTCCCCTCCCTGCCGCCTGAGTGGCTCTGTGGCTTAGAGCGTACCCCTCCCGCCACCGAGCCACTGAGCTTGGAGTCCAGGCGTCGCCCAGCCTGCCTTGCGCCTGTTCTGGCCTCGCAGGCCGTGCAGCCAGCCCTCGCCCGCCCAGGGCTCCGCCAGCCCCTCTGAACCTGCATCTCCCCGACTCCCGCAGGCGTCTCTCCTAGAGCTCCCCGCGCCAGCTGCAAGGTGCCAGCAGTGCAGCTCTCTGCAGGCCTGCCGTTTCGGGACCCCACTTGGCACTGCCTTCCAAGTTGGAGCCATCTGTGTCGCAGTCCCAGCTCGTACTTGGGACCGGGTGTGATTGGCACGGGACGCAGAGCGGATGCAACCCTCTGTGACCGCCCTTGTCCTTCCCGCTCGGCCTCCATCCGCATTCTGTTCCTGCGCCTCTACCCCGTAACTCCCCATGCCCCGAACACATGAAGCTGCCAGTCGTCCTCGCCCGGCGCCCAGCACCCTCCTCCCTGGCCACACGGCCATTCCCCGTGAGGCGCTGGTGCATCCAAAATAGCCGGCTGCCCGCCCCAGGAGGAGCCGGCGCCTGCTCTTCCTCCTCTCTGAGCGCCCTGTGTGCCCGTCACCAGCGCAGGGTGCTGCGGCACCTCGGGCCTCCCTGGTGAGCTGTGAGCACCCTGGCGCTGGTCCGGGGGAGGGTGTCTGGTCTGTGTCCCCAGCAGGGTGGCTGAATGTCGTGAGCTCCGTGGTCCTTCTCATGGGCCTGCAGGTGGACGGGAGGTGGTGGCACAGGGAGCCCGGCCGAGGCGTGTGCCAGAGGAAGGAGTGCTCGCCCGCCGGGGGTGGAGGGATTCCGGGGGCCACTGTAGCATCGACACTTCTGCCAAGGTTCCTGCTGACCACAGACCTGGTGCATCCAAAGAGGTCACGTGCAGGGCGCTGGCACGGTTAGGGCTCTAGAAGTGTGTGCAGGACTGATCTGCAGAGAGCAGGCACTTGAGGCGCATGATCCCCCCATTTCCCACGTAAGGAAACGGGGTTCCTCCCTAACTTGCTGGAGGCATGGTGGCTCTGAGTCAGCCGGGGCGCCTGCAGGTCGCTTCTGTCCGGCCTCAGGCCGGGGCTCTCTCCTCCACCCCGCAGCCTGGCAGGCCATGCCAGAAACAGCCTGAAGGCAGAGGGTTCTGTTAGTTTAAGGAGAAGGAAAACAAAAACGGCAATGTGTGCAAACACCCGTGCGTGTTCCGTTGCTATGGGCTTTATAGGACGAGCAGACACTGAGCAAGGCACATCCCTGCCCGGTGGTAAAAACCAGTCACAGACTCAGTATTTTGCTCACGTTTAAAAAATGCCTTCTTTGGGCTGGGCGCGGTGGCTCACACCCGTAATCCTAGCACTCTGGGAGGCCGAGGCGGGCGGATCGCTCAAGGTCAGGAGTTCAACACCGGCCTGAGCAAGAGTGAGACCCCGTCTCTACTAAAAATAGAAAGAAATTAATTGGCCAACTAAAAATATATAGAAAAAAAAATTAGCCAGGCATGGTGGCGCATGCCTGTAGTCCCAGCTACTCGGGAGGCTGAGGCAGGAGGATCGCTTGAGCCCAGGAGTTGGAGGTTGCTGTGAGCTACGCTGACGCCACGGCAATCTAGCCTGGGCAACAGGGTGAGACTGTCTCAAAAAAACAAACAAACAAAAAATCACACCTTCGTTGAAATGGACGATGCGCTGGACTTGCCTCGTCCGCGGCCGGGCGCGGGAGGCAGGGGTGCTTGCCCCGAGTGCGTGGCAGCCAGGACAGGCCCGGCTGCGTGGTTTCTCAGGGTTGGCTTGACGCTGTCTGACGTGCCTTTGGGGACCTGGAAACACAGCAATGACCCAGCAAGGAGTGTGGCCCAAGCGCCCGGAGAAGGGAGAACTAGCCCCATGGCCGCTCAGAACAGTGCCCTGCTTTGCTTCCGCCTCCAGGAATGCAGGCTCTCCTGGCAACGGCGGGTCCTGGGGCGGCCGTGCACAGGAGAGGGTGGGGCACCGAAGTGTGTTTGTCACAGCGCCCTTCGGCTGCGGGCGTGTTTTCCAGAGGGACGAGGGGGCTGCCGGTGGCCCTGCCGATGGCCCCGCCTGGCTCAGAGCTCTGCTCCCACTGGGGGTGTTTGCCTTGAACCCCGAGCCTGCCCACCAGTGCCGTCACTAACTGCTTCCTTGGTGTCGGCAGTGACGCTTGGCTTGGGGTTCGGCAGCCTTGATCGTGGATGTGCCATGCCGGCTCACTTGTTGAAATGTGTTTGTGCCCTTCCAGTCGATCTGACGTCCTTCGTGACCCACTTTGAATGGGACATGGCCAAATATCCCGCAAAGCAGCCGCTCGTGGGCGTGGTGGACACGCTGGCGAAGGTGAGAGGGGGGGCTGCTCTTGGGGACACCGGGCTGTCTAAGGCGGATCTACTGGGGTTTTAGAGGGGCCAGGTGCTGGGGCTCTGGCCCTGCTGGGCGACCCTGGGTGGGGTCCCCTCACCATACTGCCTGCAGCTGGCACTGACTGGATATCCGGGTTTCTGAGGGGTGGCCTCCTTCCACGCCCTGGGCAGGACCAGCACGCTGGGCGTCAGGGCACAGGAGGGACGGTCGGTCACCTGGCCTCCCATGCAGTTGGCTGAGGACTCACGGGACACCCCCCTTGATCGGCCTGAGCCAGACCCCAGCACCCCTGCACCTCGCGCCCTCTCCCTCTTTTCTGTTCCCACCCTGATCTACTCTTGGGAACCTGACACCCAGCCCCCCGCCCTGGGTGATGATTTACATGCAGAGCTGTCTGCTTCAAGTAGGGACTTGGCTCAGGTGCCTCCCGGATGTGCAGGCCTGTGGACGGTCCGCTGTCTTGCTAGGCAACAGCCTTCATCTGTAGCGGTGGAATAAAGACCCTGTGGCACAGGTCCGTGGGGACGCAGTGGGTGTCTGGCCGCCCTAGTGACTTCTGTGTCTCTTCACCAAGGGTGAGCACCAATGAAGGCCCTGAGATGGAGGCTGTCCGTTTCTAACGGCCTGTCCTTCCCTCTCGCCACAGCTTACCAAGCCCCCAGGGTGTTGTCTCCTGCTGGCATGGGGTGGGGTGGGAGGGAGGCCCAGGGGCCAGGAACGGGGTGCCCTGCTGTCTACTGTGAGGAGCGGAGCCGCCGTGAGTGTGGCAGGAGGGTCAGGAGCAGAGCTGGCCGCGGGCCCCACACGCAGGCGCCTTCTGCAGGTGTCCTGGAACAAGGGCGGGGCCAGAAGGCTCAGGACTCCGGGTGCAGCTCCTGGGGCACCGCTTACGTCACAGAGGTCCCAGCCCTTCCTGGGACAATTGGCCAGTGGTTCTGGAAGGCTCTTCCAGGAGGAGTTGCCCAGTGCACTCGTGCCAGGTGTGGCTTCCAGCACGTCCACCACAGAATTGGAAGCACATGGTTGTTTGTGGGGCTGTCCACGCTCTGCCCTGCCCTACACCAGCTCCTGATTCTCTGAGTCCCAGGGAAGCTGGACCCAGTAGGGAAGGCCCCTGGGGCACGTGGTGGGAGCAGGGGAGTTGTAGAGAAAACCTGGCTTCTCTAGTCTAGGGTACCCCAAGAGTGACTTTGGCAAGAGAGCAGGGAAGGAAGGAGGGCACCGGTTCGATGGCTCTCCAGGTGTGCTGGGCTCTCCTACTTCCCGTCTCACCCCATGAGGCTGGTGTCTCTTTCCTCTGGTTTTGGATGCGGAAGTAGCTGAGAGGTTAGGTGACATGCCCCAGGACCACAGCTGTTGCAGCATTTTACTGGGATGGGAGTGCAGCTCTTGGGGACCAAAGCCCACAAGTTGTGCTGTGTGCATGGCACCAACTGCTAAGGAACCCTCGGGCTGGCTCCAACGCAAGGAACCAGCTCTAGGAGGCCAGTGGGGCAGAGGCTCTGGGGTACCGGCTTCCTCAGTCCTTCCTGCACAAGGAACACACGTGTGACACCCCCACACCTCGTTCTACCAAGAAGAAGTCTGAATCTGTCAACTAGAGACATCTAGTCAAAGGAGCTCCCCATATGCCACAGTAATTCTGTGCCAGTGAGCTCAGAAAAGGGTCACCTGGGTCACATGGCCCGTGAGACCTGTACTGGCCTCGACATGTGAGCCTGGCTGGTTCCAAAGCCTGCTGTGGACAGGTCCCAAACCCCCTCGGCAGCTTTTCCTCTGCTCGTGGTGAAACCAGAAAAAGGACAAGCAGTAAATTTTTTTGGTTTTTGTTTTGAAACTAAATATATAAATCTTATTTTAAAAAGCAAGATCTGTGGCTATACCCATGTCAATTTACTGGTTATGATTCTGTACGATAGTTTTATAGCAGAGTATCATTGTCCAGTATAATTGTGTCGTGCGGTACAGTACAGTTGTATCGATGTCCAATATAATTATATGGTGCAGCACAGTACAGTTGTACCATTGTCAAGTATAGTTGTATGGTGCAGTACAGTACAGTTGTATCGTTGTCCAGTGTAGTGTGTGGTGCAGTACAGTACAGTTGTACCATTGTCTAGTATAGTTGTGTGGTGCAGTACAGTTCAGTTGTATCATTGCACGGTATAGTTATGAGGTACAGTACAGTTGTATCATTGTATGGTACAGTTGTGTAGTGCAGTAAAGTACAATTGTACCATTGTCCAGTTTAGTTGTGTGGTACAGTACAGTTGTATCATTATACGGTATAGTTGTGTGGTAAGTATAGTACAGTTGTACCATTGTCCAGTATAGTTGTGTGGTACAGTACAGTTGTATCATTATACGGTATAGTTGTGTGGTAAGTACAGTACAGTTGTACTCATTATACGGTATAGTTGTGTGGTAAGTACAGTACAGTTGTACCATTGTCCAGTATAGTTGTGTGGTACAGTACAGTTGTATCATTATACGGTATAGTTGTGTGGTAAGTACAGTACAGTTGTACCATTGTCCAGTATAGTTGTATGGTGCAGTACAGTTGTATCATTGTATGGTATAGTTGTGTGGTAAGTACAGTACAGTTGTACCATTGTCCAGTATAGTTGTGTGGTAAAGTACAGTTGTACCATTGTCCAGTATAGTTGTATGGTACAGTACAGTTGTATCATTGTATGGTATAGTTGTGTGGTAAGTATAGTTGTACCATTGTCCAGTATAGTTGGGTGGTGCAGTACAGTATAGCTGTGTTGTTGTACAGTATAGGAGTATAGTACAGAAGAGTTTCATAGTACAGTTAAACTGTATAGTTGTATAGTACAGTACAGTATAGCTGTATTGTTATACAGTATAGTCATGTGGCATGGCACAGTACAGTTGTATTGTACAGTATAGTTGTGTAGTACAGTACAATATAGTTGTATCATTTACAGTGCATATAGTATAGTAGGGTAGTGGTATAGTTGTATAGTGCAGAATAGTATAGTGGTACAGTTGTACAGTATAGTTGCGGTATAATTGTATAGTGCAGTACAGCACAGAATAGTTGTACAGGGGAGTATAGTATGCTTATATACTTGTACAGTATAGTTGTATAGCACAGTATAGTGTAGTTGTATAGTTGTACAGTACAGAATAGTATAGTGTAGCAGTGTATTTGTTTAGTAGAGTTGGATAGTGCAGAATAGCATAGTTGCAGACTTTATAGCGTAGTTGTATAACACAGTATAGCGCAGTTGTATACTTGTACAGTACAGAGTAGTATAGTGTAGCAGTGTATTTGTTTAGTCCAGTTGTATAGTGCAGAATAGCATAGTTGCAGACTTTACAGTGTAGTTGTATAGCACAGTATAGTGCAGTTGCATGGTTGTATGGTAAGGTGTTATCAGTGGGGGGGAATTGCATGAAGGGTACTTGGGATCTCAATGTATTAGTTTTGCAACTTCCTGTGAATCTGTAATCATCTCAAAATAAAAAGTTTAAAAACTTATAAGAAGCAATTAATCTTATAAAAAATGAAACTAGCAAAATATTTTTTAAAAAGTTAAAGGCCTCCTGTGATCATCTCCCCACCCCCACTCCCTTGATTCTCCCAAAAGATAGCCGATGTTTGAGGTGGATTCTTCCGTATATACAAAATACACATGTTGAGACTCAAAACGGCTCACACCCTACAGACGGTCCACTTTTCCACCTGTGGCGCGAGCTGCCCTCGGCAGCGGCAGTGGTGCTCTCTCCTGCTGCGTTGTTGGTGTCGGTGGCACTCATGCTCCCCGTGGCCAGGGCCCGCTGCAGGGAGGTGTCACCGAATGTGGCTGAGCAGAGCGGGTGGGACTCCCAGGAGCCTCCTCTGCCTGGGCGCCAGCCTGCAGGTGGCCACATCCTCCGTGGTGACGGCCGCAGGGCATTCCACATGTGGGTCGCGCTGTCGAACTGATGCCGTAGTAATGGACCCTGCTGTCAAGTGTCAGCGCGTGGGGGCAGGGCTGGTGGCCTGCATGTAACAGGGACTCACCACGGGGAAGAACTGGCTTCAGTGGGCACAAAATGCTCCATGGCAACAGTCATCTCCATGGCTACTGCTGTTTCGAGGAGCTGGGCCCTGGGCGCGTTCTCTTCCCCTTTGCTCATCGCCCATCCCTGCTTGCAGCCCCTCAGGGTGGGCAGGTGGGAAGCCTGAGGCCAGTCGGCGAGAAAGCAGAGGACCTGGCTTGAGCCTGGGCCCGTCTCAGTTCTTTGCACCACACTGCCCTGCTCCTGCCATTCCGGGAGGGGCATCTGGCGTGTGCTCCCTAAACCCTGGGCCTCCAGAACAAGGGGGCCCCTGGGACGGGTGCATGGTGACCTGTCTGTGCACGGCCGTGCTGGGGACTTGGGCATTTGTGAGCGCTGCGGGTTGAGGGTCAGGGCAGCCCAGGCTCCCCCTGCAGAGCCTGAGGAGGTGTCTCGGGGCTGGGACCCCCAACAGTGCAGGATGGGCTTGAAATCAGGAGGAAGTTGAGCTTGTGTGACCCTGCTCAGCGCCTTGGGATCTGTAAAGCAGGGCCAAGTGTCGTCCCCCCCACCCCCCGCCCTCACGCTGGGCTCCCTGTAAGGGCCAAGTGCCTGCACTCTTGGGCGAGCAGAGGAGGGCACGCATTGGCCATCTTGGGCAAACAGGCTGCGCGGCTGTCTCTCTCCAGTGCAGCGGGAGCTGTACGTGGCCACTGTGGAGAGTTTGACCAACTCTTCAATGCGTGGGGTCACCAGGAGCTCTTGCTTTCCCCGATAGCAACTGGCACAGATTGAGACAGACCTGAAGACCCGAACGGCCGCCTACAACACTCTGAAGACCAACCTGGAGAACCTGCAGAAGAAATCCACGTGTGTATCTTCGACGCTGTGCACCTGGCCGGGAGCGGGCGGGGGGGGTGGGGGTGGGGGTGGGGCGGATCCTGGCAGGGGCTTAGTGCGCGTCCTTCCCATCCCCGGGTGACCCAGAGTCTGTCCCGTGCCTGAGAGTGAGAGTGAGTCAGACAGACGCCGCCACCTCCCCAGGAGCTGCTGCTGGGACAGCAAAGGGCCAGCAGGGGCGATGGCATCGCCCAGCCTGTGCCCAGAGAGGAACGTGCCCCGCGGCTTTCACTGTGGAGGCTCCACGGAGGGCGAGGGCGGCAGGAGGCCAGGATGTCAGAGCGTGGCCTTTCCTGAGGGGCAGGGAGGGTGGTGGGCTCCGTGGCCCCGAGCAGAGCAGCCTCAGGGACTCAGGTGCTTTCTCCACCCCCCAAGGGCCACCGTGTGGGGGAGGGGTGGGCCGCTAGGGACCAGTTACCTAGACGGTGGAGGTGTCGGGAGAAGAGCGTATCCCTCGATGGCAGGGACTATCTGGGGAGGCAGCGAGCACCCTGTGGCTGGAGGAAGAAGCCAGGTGAGCCCCTGCGGCGGGGGCTGCCCCTGCACTGGGAGGCGCTGGCGTGGAAGGGCCGCCCTGTCTCCCGGACTCTGCACCTGCTCCTGGGCTGTTCCTGGCTCTCTGACGTGCTCCAGAGCAGGGAAGTGGCCCAGGGGACCCAGAACCGGCTGCTGCCCCCACCCCCGACTACCTCAGCGCTGTGAACGAGGAGCTTGTTGCCTGGGAGGCGCCGCGTCTGCTTCCCTCTTCTGAGGGTCGCCGGCCAGCCGTCTTCTAGGGAGAAGCAAACAGCACGGTAGTGGGACGCGAGCAGCCGTGGAGGGAAGGTGCCCTTCAGCTAGAAACGTCGCTGTTGGTTGCCTGACTCTGTGTCGGAGCTAAGTGGGCACGGGCTGCGGAGGGCGGGAGGAAGGCAGGTGCCGGGCAGAGAGCCCCAAACGGCGACGGGCTGTCGGTCAGTCCTGGCATGGAGCCTCGGGGCTGCCCGCTCCCGCTGCATCACCAAATTGTAGATTTTCTTTCTATTTAAAAAAATATATATATTTGTTTATTTTTAGAGATAGGGCTTTGCTCTGTCGTCCAGGCTGGAGCGCAGTGGTGTCATCATAGCTCACTGCAGCTGCAGCCTCGAACTCCTGGGCTCAAAGCCATCCTCCCACCTCAGCCTCCCGGGCAGCTGGGGCTATAGGCACACACCACCACGCCCCGCTAATGTTTTCTACTTTTTGTAGAGATGGGGTCTCCTCATTTGCCCAGGCCGGTCTCCAACTCCTGGCCTCAGCCTCCCAAAGTGCTGGGATTACACAAATTGTGGATTTTTAAAGAATTGGTTAGGACTTGAACAAACATCTGCTCTTCACTCAACCGGTGAAGTTCACTGATTTTTCATTGATCACTCACGGTCACTTTATTGGCTCACGGAGTGTAGGAGGGGCATGCAAACAGGGACGGAAGTCTGTAACTCCCTCCTCCACTATTTCTTTTCTTTCAATGTACGTTGGCTAAGCTATGCCCTCAGGCCGTGCACTGGGCCCTAAAGATATAAAGCAGAACGAAATATAATTTGTGTACTTGGCAGAGAGGTCACAATTATTCATTCAACAAACATTTGTGGAAATTCTGCTTCATGCCGGGGGTTCGGGGTGACCCAGGGAGATAAGTCAGGTGGTGTGCGGGCAGCGCCTTCCCTGCTATGACACGGTGGCTCGTGCCTGTGGCACCTCGGGAGAGGGATCCTGAGGGACGCATCCGGGGCCCACCGTGGCTCCGTGGTGCTATGAACAGGGGACAGGACAAACGGAGTGCAGGGGCCCAGGGCAGGCAGGAGAGCCCGTGGAGGATGGGATCGCATGGTGGCCTTTAACGCCATGGCCTTGGCCAGACCCGCCGGAGCTGCCTCGTGTGCTGAGGTCACGGCCTCTGTGCCAATCTTCGCACAGCCCGGGCAGCCAGAGCCGGCACGTCTGCTGGTACAGCCACCTTGATCCATGTGCTAGCAGTACCACAACCTTCATTCAGACCAGGTCCGGTGGCCGTGTGCAAAGCCGTTTCAGGCAAGTGTCCCCTGGCTGCTGGGCAGAAAGGCCTGTGAAGTGATGCGGAGTGCTGTCGAGGTTGGCCACACAGCCCAGAGAGCTGGCCGCCGTGCTGACACTTGAGTAACGTTAGCTGCCTGCCGCCCAAGGTCCCCTCCCGAGAGCTGCTGCTTGCACAGGGCAGAGCAGGTCACGGAGGTGTTGGATTCGGCAGCCCCTAGGGTGACTGGTGATAGCACTTGAGGTCCTGCCAGCCTCCCTGTCCCTGGAGGGGAGGAGGCAGCAGCTCCAGCTGCCCAGCAGGGAGCCTGGGGGGCCCTCGGCCCTGGGGCCAGGGGAGAAGGTCACTTATGAGAGTCACTGCATTCGCCTGGGCTCCAACGTCCTTGGGGCCTGAGCCTGCCCCGCTTCCTGCCCGCCCAGTCCCACTGCCTGTGCAGGGGCGTGTGGGGTCAGCATGTCCCTTTCTGCTGATCACACTCTGTTCCTCCTGCCTTTCAGGGGGAACCTCTTCACCCGGACACTGAGTGACATTGTGAGCAAAGAAGACTTCGTGCTGGATTCTGAATATCTCGTCACCCTTCTGGTTATCGTCCCCAAGTGAGCAGGCGGGAAGGAGGGGTTAGGTGTCTTGGCCCGTGGGTGATCACTGACGGAGACTGGCCCAGCCCAGTGTGGACAGGGTGGGTGGGGAGGGCCTGAGAGTGACTAGGGTGGTGAGAAGAGGATGCCCCACCAGCCCCGATTCCCAGGAAGCAGATAGGAAAAACGGTGTGCAGCTGCCTAAGCACTCAGGACCCCTAAGAGTCTTTTCTGCAAAAGTCACCAAATGATTCTGTGTTCTTGCAGATCAAACTACACACAATGGCAAAAAACCTACGAATCTCTCTCGGACATGGTAGTCCCTCGGTCGACCAAGTAAGTGAGACCCCGGCCTGGCCCCAGGTCCCCTGAGAAGCATGTGTGGGTGCTTTGGGGTACCCCTTCACCAAACAAGCCCTGAGGGTGTGAGGCCCCTCAACCCTCTTTTGTCCCTTGGCCTGGAATTCCTTTGTGGTCACACATCTTGTCACATGCGACTGCCTTCCTCTTTCAGAGCTCCCTGTTCTGCCCGTGCTCTGGGAAGGCCGCCCTGGCTGCCTACAGCACAGGGGCCCTCGCTGCGTCCTTGCTGTGCCTTCTCAGCTCAGTGCCCATTCTCCCCCCCTGAGGGGCAGGGGCCTGGCCAGAGTGGCTGCCCAGTGACCGGCCGCAGAGCAGGAGCAGGGGAGGAAGGAAGTCCCAGCATGTGGCCTGCTGGCATTAGAGTAGGAGCAGCCAGGACGGGGGTGAGGGGCACTGTGAAAATGGCAGGAGAACGGGCAAAAAACTGTGTCTCTCGTGGAACACTGTGCAGCCAGGACACCCACGCCCCAGGGCTGCCTGTGTGCGCAGAGTTGAATGACGGCAAGCGCGGAAGGGTGTGTAGCACGGAGGCTAGACACGGATGGAACTAGAGTACCTGTGACTTGGGCGTATGCAATTGCACAGTGAATCGTGGGGACGGGGGACAAGAAAGGCCGCACTCAGGCTGGTGGTGACCTGGGGCGGAGAGGTGCAGGCCGCTGCGGAGGGACATGCGGGCTTGCCGCTGTGCGGAAATTGTTTGGTATCTTAGCCAGTGGCTGGCACGCAGGTGTGTGCTACTCTGCACACCTCTTTGTACGTGCAAAGTGGTTTGCACCTTTAGGAGATTTTTAGAACGAGCCTGGGGCAGCCCATTCACCTGTCCCTCCACACGCCACCCCACTACTGCCCTCGAGCGAAGCCCTGCCCGCTGCCGGCCCATCCCGGGCTCTGCTGGGAGACAGGCTCGCCCAGGGCTGCGAGCTCACAGGAGAGTGCGATAAGGCGCTAAACTGAGGGATGCAGGAAGGGGACAGTCACAGCCTGAGGTCACAGGGGCGGCCAGAGGAGGAACAGGGCGTGCAGAGCACCTGGGGGCCGTGCCAGGACAGGCTGCCTCTGTAGGTGGCTTGGCCTCTCAGACCAGAGCCCTGAGGCCCTCATTGTCACAGGGCACCCGAGAGCCCGCACAGATGACCCTGGAGGTCTGGAGCCCGGGGGCCGCCCCTATGGGCGTGGAGCCTGGGTGCGGCTCTGAGGACCGAGAGGCGGCCTGGCCGGCTGGCCCGTGAAACCACGCCTGGGCCACTTTCAGAGTCTCCTGGCCAGCAGGACTCAGAGATGTTGAGACGACTGGCCCTGAGAACTCCCTTGTTGCTGGGCACAGTGGCCCCAGTGATCCCATGTTGAGACACGCAGGGGAGGCTGTGTCCAGCTGGGGTGTCGTGACACTGGACAGTGGAAGTGAACTGGACCTGCAGGACGGTTCCACCAGTGGGAGACCCGCCCAGCGTCACTGTAACGGGGCACAGCAGAGCCTGGGCGGGCCCGCCCAGGAGGAGCGGGATCCGAACCCCAGACCTCTGTGCTTCCTGCCCCTCTCAAGCCTTTAGAGCCCCTGGCGGCCGGGACTGGCGGAACGAGAGGAAGGGGCAGGAGGGCTGGGAAACAGCAGGCGGCCGGGAGTCAGGAGATTACAGGGGTGCACTTGGCTCCCCAGCCCTCGGCTGCTGCCAGGGCCCCGAGCGCGGGGCTCTCGGCTCCGAGCCGAGAGACTCAGGGGGACCCGGAGGTCCAGCCCTGCAGTGGCCTGCAGCTTCCATGCCCAGCTCTGGCATCATGACCCTGGAAGTCAGTCCAGCAAACAGGTGCTTCTGTCCGGCAGGTTGATTACCGAGGACAGCGAGGGCGGCCTCTTCACGGTGACCCTGTTTCGAAAAGTGATCGATGATTTCAAAACCAAAGCCAAGGAAAACAAGTAAGACTGTGGGCTCCGTGGGCCTCTCTGGGCGTGGCTTGTTCCCCTGGGAGGTCTCTTGTCTAGGAAGTGTCTTGGTGAAAGCCTGTCTTTGCTTGTTTTAAGGTTCACCGTCCGTGAATTTTACTATGATGAAAAAGAAATTAAGAGGGAGAGGGAAGAGCTGAGCAGGCTGCTGTCTGATAAGAAGCAACAGTATGTGAGTGTGGGGTGCAGCCAGGAGGGCTTCCTTGGGGTGCTGAGTAGTTCCCTCCTGTCCCCACCCCTTCCCCATCAGCCCTGGCCAGTCCCCGCACTGCCCTTCCGGGAGGCGGTTGCTGCTCCCCTGTGCAGAGGCTGAGGCTGCTGAGAGGTCGGCTCACGGGCATGTCCCCAGCTAGGGGACCCTGCCCAGCCCTCCTGGGACAGAGCTGGGCTCCGTGGGGAAGCATCTATGCCCAGCGTTGGCCTTGAGGAGTGTGGCCGACGGTCACCCCACTGTCCTTGGCCATGTGGTTTCCAGAGGGTCCCCGGCACCTGTATTCGCCTCCCCTGTGTCCCGAGCAGAGAGCGGGCGCTTACGCTGAGACTTCCGCCCGAGCCACTTAGAAACTGCTCGTGGTGAGAGGGCAGCTCAGCTCACGAGGGAGGAAAACTAGACACTCAAGTTTGAAACGTGCACAGTGTAGCCTTGGGAAAGCCACTCTACCGCTCTGTGAGATGGGCACATCCCAGGCTCGGAGGCCTCCAGCGCCGTGCCGGGCTGAGCTGGGCGACTCCAGAGGAGCCTGCCCGGGTGGGATGTGCTTGGGCGCTTCTCCCGCGCCCGCGCCCGGGGCGGGGGGCAGTTCTAGGGAACACCTTCCAGCCCAGCCTCTAGTGACAGACGGGAAGGGAAGAATGAGTAGAATGTACTTGAGGCCTTTTGGAGGGAAGTCGGTGTGCAAACATGAGCTGTGAGTACGTGCTTGGGGACAAGAGCAGTGGCTGCGGGCCAGGCTAGAAGTGCTGCCTTCGGGCAGATGGCCCGGGGGACTGACCTCTCTGGGGGCCGCAGAGAGCAGCCACGCCGACAGGAGGGAGCCCGGCCGCCGGGTCTCACAGGAAGGGAACGACAACCGATAGCAGCACAGAAGTTCACATTGGGTATTTCCAACCTCTGCCCCTGAAACATGAACACAGGGCCGCGGCCCGCGTGTGGGGATGGACGTGTGCGCACACCCGCTGAGCACGCACGCTCCTCCCACCCAGAAGCTGCCGGCTCTGGCCGAGGCCCCCCTGAGGACCCCAGGCCCGTTGGGTGCTCTGGTCCTCAGGGCGGTGGCCACAGGCACAGCACTGGCAGGCAGGAATGACTTTCACCAGCAAGAGCTGTGAAATCCAAAACGGCTTCTTCCTTAACCCCAGCTCACCTGAAACCCTCGCCACCCAGGGAGGCCCCAGCTGTTCTCCTTGGCCGGGCCCTTCCCTGCTTGCTCCAGCCCTGACCCCAGGCCCCTCCTTCCCCAGTGTCCCTGGATGGAGGCCAGAGCATGGCAGCTTTCACAAGCGTCCAGCTGGGAGGCCCCGCCCGGGGACAGGTGGTGAAGTAGGGCCTTTGGCACCCACCTGGGTGCTGGCGCAGGCCTGCCAGACCCCTGTGGATCAGGGTGACACACATGAGCCTGACACCTGCCACGTGGGGCTCAGGTTGCCAGCTGGCGTTTTTTACATGGTATAGACTTCCGCACACCAACACGGCCCTGGGAGCCCTGCCTCAGTCTCCCCGTGGGTGGCGGGAGGAGGCCCAAAGAGACTCACTGAGCTGGGGTCAGCTCCATCCTGGCTTTCTGAGCACCCCTGTCCCCCTTCGGCCTGTGTGGAAGTGGATATGACCGAGCCTGTTGCATCCTTTTTGTTGCTTGTCACCCAGAAGGGACAGGCAAGGCCCGGGGTGTCAGTGTACTTTGAGAGCAGAGCGGGACTTTGCGGTGCTTTCCACCCATGTGCAGAGACACAGCGATACGGGGTGCGGTGTCCCTCAGCACACCCGGCTGACGCCTGCCCTTGGCATGCTTAAGGCATGCCCTGGTCAGGACCCCCGTCGCGGGCAGACAAGGACAGCAGCAGGAGGAGTTGCTGGGAAGGGCGCTCCTGACCCCTCTGCGGGCGACTGGTTCTGTCCTCGCACTGTGGAACCGCGGACCCTAACACCCCGCACTGCTGTCTCTCTAGCGCGGCCGGCCGCGGGTCCCCAGGGCGGGGCGGTCCGAGCTTGCTCTCGCGCTTCGCAGGCGATGGGAGCGACTTGTTTGTTTGTGATGCGTCTTTGCCGAAAGATTAATAAATCATTTCTGTGCCTTTAGCAAACTTCCTGTGTTGCTCTTAAAAAGGGATCATCCACCTTCCCGGACCACAAGGTTAAGGTAACCCCGCTAGGTCACCCCGATAGGCCCGCCGCGGGGCAGACCGACAGAGAGAGAGAGAGTGAGGGCGAGGGCGAGGTAAGCATCCCCCCGAACCCCGGGGGTCCCCGGCTCGCATCTCCTCGCTGGCTCAGGCGCCTTCTGAGAAAACAAATCTCGCGTTTTCTGTTACCTGACTTGGCTTTGGAGGGCTCCCTGCGAGGAGCCCCGAATCCTGCCTTCCTCCGACTCTGCAGGGCCTCTTTGCAGCTGCCGCGCCCGCGGCCAGGGGTGCTTGTGGCTGGGCGGTCTGCCCTGGCCGGAGGTGGCTGGAGCTGGTGACGGGCAGGCCGGGGGACGGTGGTGGCAGCGGGGCTCTCTCCCCTCGGCTGCCCTGCTGGACCTACCCTGACCTTCAGGGGCAGTCGGAGGTGCCAGGTGGGAGCTCGGAGCTCTTGCTCCAAGACTCTGAGCTCCCCCAGAGGACCGGCCACACCAGCGTTACTGGCAGCTGCCGTGGCCATGTGAGGTGGGGCTCCTTGAGGTGGCAGCCAGTGGGGGACACCAGGAGCAGGGGCAGAGCCTTCGAGAAGGTGGGCTCCCTGGCTGCGCAGTGTCAGGCGGACGCCCGTGAGCTGCCTGCCGAAAGCCCTGAGGTCAGGGGCCGCCCAGCTCCCCGCACCCCGGTCTGTGGTGGCCCCAGCATGTGCCGGGTGGCTGGCCCCCGAGTTCCTCAGCGCCAGGCGCCCCGGACACTGCAGTCCCGAGCCAGCCCCGGGGCTTGTCCGGCCGACTCTCTGCTTCTGCTGGATCCTGGGCACTATTTCTCAGCTCAGGGCTTGCTCTGCCAAAACCCGAAGTCCTTTCTTGGCTTGGCGTCCGGTGGCGCGGCCAGGAGGGGTCACCTGGCTCCTTGGTCTTTGCAGGGCCCCCTGCTGCGCTGGCTCAAGGTGAACTTCAGCGAAGCCTTCATTGCCTGGATCCACATAAAGGCCCTGAGAGTGTTCGTGGAGTCCGTGCTCAGGTGCGTGGAGGTGCCCGGCGGGGCTGTCCCTGGGGTGGAGCGGGTCTAGAGGAGCCGTCTGGGGCCACGCCAGCCCCGCCTTTCCTCCCGCCCCTGCCCTCTCTTTCCTGTGTCTGTGGCTCTTGGCAACCCGTGGGACGCCCTGAGTCGGTTAGACCCTCAGCTCAGCCCTGCGCCCTGCTGTCCGCTCCCTCCTTTTCCGGCCTCCCCTGCATCCCACGTGGACCCTCCACGGGTCCTGTCCTCGCCCCTGCACAGCCTGCAGGACCCAGGGCTCCTGGAAGGCAGCCCCAGACTGTCTCGGTCCTCTGCCTCCAAGAAAACCCAAACCAACCCAACAACAAAACTTATTGAGCCTTATTAAAAAAAAAAAAAAAAAAGCAGGTTCACTGGGGCAAATTTGGAAGCACAACTTTATTGCAGGTTTGCACAAAGAATGGATGACAATCGCCCAGAATCCTAACACCAGCAGAGGACGGTGCTGACAGCCTGGCGGGCACCCTTTAGGTTTTATGGGATTTTTTGTTCGTTATTGAGACAGGGTCGCACTGTGTGGCTCAGGTGAGAGTGCAGTGGGGCCATCATGGCTCACTGCAGCCTCAAACTCCTGGGCTCCAGCGATCCTCCTGCTTCAGCCTCCCGAGCAGCTGAGACCGCAGGTGTGTGCCACCACCCAGGCTAAAGTTTTTTTTTTAATGTATAGATACAGATGATTTTTACTAGATTTTTATGAAGATAGAGTCAAACAGGAAACAGTTTTTGAAGCTCGCTTTTCTGCTGTATTTGGAGGATATCCTGGGTCATTAAGTGTTCCTGATCTCGCTGCGTGGCACGCTGTGGCAGCTCTGACTTGCAGGCTCCTTTGTTCCTCCGGCCCCCCGGTCCCCTGTTGCTCTCCCGGGCCCCTTCCCTGCCTGTGCTGGTGGCTGCCTCAGGGTCCCTCCCCGCCACCCACCTGCGACTCCTCGGGCTCCCCTCGTCTCTGCCGTGTCTCCGCTCATCGCCCCAGCCCTTCCGCTGGCTCCCCATGTCTGCCCGTGGCCTCGCCGTCCTCCCCAGCACCAGACCCCCAGCCTCGGGTCAGCGTGGACCCCACCGCCCCACACACACACAGCTACACCTATACACACCCACACACCACACCACACCACACACTCACACCACACCACACACACACAGCTACACCTATACACACCCACACACACTCACACCACACCACACACTCACACCACACCACAACCACACACACACACTCACACCACACCACACCCACACACACACTCACATCTACACCTATACACACCCACACACCACACCACACACACACACATCTACACCTATACACACCCACACACACACCACATACCACACCACACCACACACACACTCACACCACACACACACACACATCTACACCTATACACACCCACACACCACACCCACATACCACACCACAACCACACACACACTCACACCACACACACACATCTACACCTATTCACACCCACATACCACACCCACATCACAACCACACACACTCATACCTACACACATCTACACCTATACACACCCATACACCACACCCACATACCACACCACAACCACACACACACTCACACCACACACACACATCTACACCTATTCACACCCACACACACTCACACCACACCACACACACACATCTACACCTATTCACACCCACATACCACACCCACACCACAACCACACACACTCACACACACCACACCCCCACACACATCACAACCACACACACCACCACACCACTCAATCTACAACACCGACACACCACACCACAACACACCACACACACCCTATCACACCCACACACACACACATACCGACACCACAGTCACACACACCACAACCAAACACACATTACACCTAATACACACCCACAACCACCACCACATCCACACACCCCCACACCACCACACACGAGCTTACACCTATTACACCCCACACGCACTACACACACCACACACTCACACAACACACAACACACACATCACATCACACCACACCCACACACACCACTCATACCACAACACACACTACACTATACACACCCACATACCACACACTACACACACAACACACACACACTCACACCACACACACACACTTACACCTATCACCACACAAACACACCATACACACCACCAACACAAATCACACCACCCACACACATCTCATATACACACACCACACCGACACCACAACCACAGCGCCCACAC